CCCCGAACCCCCCAAACTACGGGCCTGCCGAGGCATGCGCAGGTGACGACCCTCCCGCTTTAATCTATCATGAAGTCTGTTATTCAAAATTTGATCTGCAATCAAATGCTCCACGACTGAGCTATATTCCTCAGCTATTTCGAACAGTTATATGAAAATATAATAATCGTAATAATGTGCCCAGCAGTGAGTAAGCTGGAGTTAAGTGTTTTTATGTGGACTTATTTATAACCACAATCCGGTGTTGAGGGACTGTGTTATAACGTTTAAATTATGAGAGGACACCCCGATGCAACCAGAGTGATGCTATTATGAAAGCAATGAATGATCTGGAGACAATTGCATTTGAATGTGTAGTCTTATATCAATCATAATAATATGATATTTTTTTTAGGTCACGACTCGGATAGCCTTGCTCAACTTGTTCGTAACCAGTCTTGTGATTGGTTGTTGACAAATGCTGATCAAGCCACGCCTCCAACTGTAATTATTCGTAAATGGCGTCAATTTGTGTAGTTTTCTTGATTTATTCTGCAGATATAGGTAAAATATAGGTAAGGCTTTGGCGAAATTTGAAAGAGCAACTAATATTCTTCAACCTGGTATTTTTTATAGATTTTATTTTTCATTCTGTTCGTCTGTTTTTTCCAGTTTAAAAAATATGAGCTGGCTGGAGCCTTCATCCCTTGCCGATTTCTTACACTAGATACCAGCCGATACCCCCCCCCCCCGCCCATAGAGAGTGCGTGCAGTTGTTCCTGGGCTCCCTGTGATCAAACTGGCAGGTTAAATGCAGGATATTGTATGTTTACTCATTGTCGGATGATTATCAGATAACTATCGAACTTATTGTTGAAAATTTGTAAACAAAAGTCGAAGCACTCTCTCTAATATCTGTCGCCATGAAAACTAAAGTCAGAGCCCTAAATCCACTTGTCTTATATCGATCGAATATCGATCTAAAACGATAATTATCAGTGAATTATATTTGCAAGAAAACCTAAGTCGGACCAAATGTCACGCAGCCTTATCCTAAATCGATCTAAAACTTCGATAATTATCCGAGAATTCCATCGCCATGAAATCCAAAAAGTATTACAACTATGTCTAATATCGATCTAAACATTCGATATTTCTCCGATACGAAAGTGAATAAATGTGCACTATCCCGTGTTTTTTTTTTTTTTTATTATTTGGCGGGATTTTAATAAAATATTAATCAAACAAATAAATAAATAATCAGAATCCCACCAAAACACGTGCAAATTCGTTTTCTAGTATAATATTTTGCTATATTATTTTAGAACCAATAACATTATTTGCTGTTGCGCACGAAATGTGTTTTTAAAAGATGCGAATAATGTTTTCTTTTCAAAACGATATACTGCACTCAACGAAGCTACCACCCTAGATTGACCTCGCTGATTTAAATCTAAAACCGGAAGTAGAATATTGGTATTTGTCAGGGGGTGCCAACGTCGATACAATTTGTCGTCGTAGCACGGAGCTGATTTTAGCCTCGTCCTTTTAGGCTGACTGTTTTGATCGTATACTAAACGTACTTTGTATTGTGTTCGCCGCTCATGACGCCACAGTGACGTCAATTGTTACGTGAACGAATATACCGACGCCCGCCATGTTGCCATTCCGGCTTCGCGACCCCCGACAAATATGGACGACGTGACGCTTGGGATTGAAAACCACGAAGCACGAAAATAAAAGCAATTGTGTTTTTATTATTATCGTGGTTTGCACCGGGGTTGTGCAGTTGCTAATTTGTGCAAGTTGCCTTCATAATATGTTGGATTAATTTGCAGTTCCGTCGCTGCTGTACCAGGCTTATAATATCTCGGCAAACATCAAACCATTGTTGTGTTCGTCAGCGCGTCACGGTATCCGTACCACACTTTCCTATTTTTTTTGTATTATTTACTTTCGTTTGTGGGAGTGGTGGGGATACAGGATCAACTCACATACTCACGGTTGAAGGGCGGAATCGGGGTAAGCTGGGCGTTGTAGCAGATCTGACGTAAAAGGGAGCATTTTATAGAGAATAACATCGTCAACACAGTATTATAATAATGTCTGGTGTTGTGTTGAGGCCCTGTACCAACACGGATTGGGTAGACGATATACCACTTCCACCGGGTCAAACGATATTAGGAAGAGGTCCGTTTCTAGGGGTGAGTATTAAATAATAATAACACATTTTTTTTAATTCGCAAATAGTGGCACATTCTAAATTGAAATATTTGCACTGTAATTTAATAATTTAACAGTATTTATCTTTTTATCCTCAATTAATTCTGATTTAATTAAATCACATAGTTCTGTTTGACCTCATGTTTAAGTCAATGTCTATTTGTAAATGACACTTTGACTATTGCAATGCACCGCTGAAAACAATTAAACAAAATGTGAACTCATGGGGTGTTATGTTATATATATATTTATTTTATTTATATTTTATTTTTGTGTTATATCACAGTCCTATAGAGGGACTGTGAGCCAATAATCATTCAGTCATCGATTGATCTGTTTGACTTAAAGCATGGTGGTCGTCGCGCAGCGTATGTTCGAATTTCATGTAAATAAACAATGTATTTTACTCGCGTTGTATACGTCGCTATGAGTCCCATATCGATCCTTTGGGTTGAGTGATAATAAAGCCATATTCTATTTTATTCCAGTGGTAATTAAAATATAAATCAAAGAACCATATATCCAGCACAAAATACATTTACTAATTACTAAAGTCGCATGAACTAATTAATTTTAAAGCTACATATTCAATATTTTCAAAAATGTTTAGCACATGTTATCGTTTATTCCTAGCGATGCATTGCCTTTACAGACATGATGTGCGAGTAAACGTCAATATTCATCGACTCTATTGATATATATATATTTAGGATTTAGAGAAGATTCCATTCAAATTTGTATCACTGCTACCATAAATGGAAGGATTTTCAGCCAATTAAATCATTGACTCAGAATGCTCATGTCAATTAGTTAGATATTCTGATTTGGCAGTAATTTGGCAGAAAATACAATTAGGTTTTGCTTTTCATTGTTCCGTGTATAAGCCTGAAACCTGTGCCTCACACATTTTTTTTTTCTCTCTTGCAATTTTGAGTGAAGTGCACCACATATGGTAGAATTGAGAAATGTTTTCTATCTCAGAGGATGTTTCATTGTTTTCTAAAGCGTATTATTTAAAAAAAAAATGTTGGCAGCATATTTTGTTATGGTATTAAACGTTCTGGATGTAAAAAAGAATTAAAAATCATTTCAGCGTCATTTCGTAATTTTTCAATTTAGCTTAGTACAAGAAGCAAATTCTTTTTATTTGTTTGAACTTTGATCCTGTATACCATGCCATAACCTGGTTACAGGATATAACTACAAAAAATTCTAGAACACTGATTGGCTAATTAAAGACAGATTTGTAGCAATTTTTTTTATTTGTTCAATCAATCTCCATGGAATTATTAGAGTCTATAATTTTAATAAAATACTGCTTTTTATTATTACAGGGAACTGAAAGAAAAATTAAAAAAAAAAAAATGCAATATGGACAAAAATTGTTTAATGTGGCATTTTGAGGACCAAAATGGATTATGCTTTATCATAATGATTTTTGGTTTTCAAATATATTGTAGTATTGTTGGATGAAAAATGAAAAATATATACCTAATGCACGGTGACTGCTACTGTACATGCAAAGAAGAGTTTTGTTGATCCATCGAATGAATACTTGGATATGAGCTTCAAGAACAACACGTTGTTTGGTTTCTAATAAACCATCATCAAATCTTACCAACATGTGTCATAAAACGACAGTATTAAATATCCAATATTGCATATTTAATTGAATGATGTGGGTGGGCTTTTTTTTCCTAAAATGTTTGGAATTTAATAATAAGTCACAAATAAATTTGCTTATTGGTTGACTTGCATACTCAGTTCAGTTGATGTATTTATCTCTCTACAACCACTATAAAACCATGAGAAGAGTTTCTGGGAAAAGGACTTATCGCAGAATCACAAAACAGATACTACAAGTTGTCTGCATTATAATTATCTTGCTGGAAGCAAAAGTTAAAGGTCACCCAGATCGAAATTGTTAGCTTAATAATCCACTTGTCAGTGATGTGGATTTGTTTTCAATTAAAAAATAGAAATGTAGGTCCTAACAAAACTAAAATGCTAAACAAAAAGGATTAATGAAGGGAAAAAAAAGTAAAACAGGTAGCCAGTATTTTATTTTTAGTAGATCATCATTTTGACTGGCTATTGACTTTTTTTCTACATCACTACCTGTGTTTTATGTTAATTAATTAAAATTAGATTAATTATCCATTTGTGATTAATTCGAAGTGCACCAAAACGAGAGTTGATTAAAATTGATCTTTATACTTAATAAAGCAAATCCAAAGTTCTAATAATAAATGAGGGAATTGGCAAACAAAAGCAATGACAAATTTGTGAATAGAATCATTTGATTACAACAACCTATCTGACCATAACAACTGTCAACTGAGAAATTGTTTTGAGTAATAAAAACACCGATAGGAAACCATGGTTAAGATTACCAGAGTGGATTACGGTTTATCACTATTGAATAGTGTTGTAGTGACGTCACTACAATATGCTTGTGGAATCATAACACATAATCATTCAGACAGAAAAACTAGAAAAAAATGCAAAGATGCATTCAGAAATTTATTCTAGAAGCTCAGAGGAATACTGCTAATAAAGTTGTTTTTGGTGCCCTTGGGTAGAACACAGTACCGTAGTTTGTAAACAGTGAAATTAAAATATTTTAACATGAAAGAACCAAAATGGGCAAGAATATTATCTATGTATTTAAATACCCCATATCACAAGATTGAACAAACTGAAGTATTGAAACGGCAGAAAGGCATTGATAATATAATAACAAATGTAAAATTAGACGGTTTGAAAATATCACTGATGATAAGATAAGACTCTTTGTTTTAAACAATGATAAAACTAAATTGTGAAAATAAATAAATGAAAGATTGCCCATATTGTAAGAAGGAAAATGAAACTCATGAGCATTGTATGCTTATAGGGCAGAAAACTAAGGGGGGAATCAAAGGGGAGAAAACAACCTCTATGTAGATTATGAATAATTAATATGCCTATAGCTAGGAAGACAGTACACAATTCTATTTTTGACATTTGAACAGCCATTGACAAATTAGTCAAACAATTCTCATCAGTGCATTGGTTTCCAGACAAAAAATTTTAGACTAGCCTAAAATGCTGTTTTTTTTGTTTTTTTCAGCATGGATGCACTAACATTTGACCAAATATTTTTTTTTTTATATTTTTTCTTCAATTCTAACATCCAATCCAATTTTTGTTGATGTTACATAATAGTGAGTTCCTCATTCAAAAATTGAACTCTGAGATTCATTCGTAAAATGTTTGATGGTTTAAATTTGCATGCATTATGTTAAACATTCTCAACTATTTTCAATGTGTCTGAATGTTAGTGAATGGCATTCATTTTGGCTTCCAATTTGATTGCGAGTTTGAATTTCCACTATTTGCTGGTGTTTTTGAATAGTGTTTCAATGCTTATGGGTCCCTAATGATTTGCATCCATTTCAAATTACCACAACCTATGGTAATTCAAACACTGATGAATCGAGGCAAATGTTTACATATACCGGTATACAAATTTCACAAATATCCATACCATCAAATATGTCACACAAAAATATCAATAAAATTTTAGGAATGATCTCTGATCTGGATATTTTTGGACCAATTAGGCATAATTTCCTATTTAGCTGAAACTCTTGAAAAACATTTTTTAAAGAATTACCGGATATGAAAATCAGTACAAGGGTTTATTTTCTGAAAGGTAACTTAAGTTGACTTGATGGCATATTAGAAGAAACTACACAGAGAAATATACCATCTGCATCAAAACTAATTGGTGATGGAATAATGCTATTTATTATGTTAATTATTAATATTGAAATAGAGGAAGTATTAAGTGCTGCTACTATATCTCGACATCAGCAATTATCTATTTTATCATTAAAATTTGTACGATCATTAATTAATTCATTATAACTATCACTACAAATATTCTTTATAGATATCGGATAAAAGAGTATCTCGTTCCCATGCTATTTTGGAAGTTGATAGCGGCAAGTTGAGAATTCTACCAACCCATATTAATCCAACTTTCCACCAGAGGCTAGGAACTGACAAGTTGAGACCCTTAGCAAAGGATGAATGGCAAGAATTAAAAAATGGAGAAAAATTTTCTCTAATCCCTGAGTTTCATATTTTCAAAGTTGTTATTGACGAGAAGCCCATAAATAAGTAAGTATATACATCTATATATTTGGCTCATTTAGGTAAAATGTGCCTTTGTGTTTTTGTCAATTTTTTGAGCACATACAGTGCCATTGGCTGGCACACTTTGATTGAATTTAAACAGTAAATAAATGCACCACTCTCATCTTATGTAGGTGTTGTACATCAGGGTCTTAACGCAACATATACTCGTACAAAGTACATTTGTATCAGCTGCAAAATGACTGTGGCTTTATTTTGTAATTTATTCATGTAGCTCTTATTTGATTTGTGTTGTGCTGCATATTCATATTTGCATAATATCTATTTGTCAAATAGTACATCAAGTAATAGCTCAAAAACACCAGTAGAAGAAGAAAATGGAAAAGGTAAGTTAATATAAATATACAACTGTTAATATTTGACTCAATTATTCCAATAGCATGAGAATCTATCCTCATTACTTGTAGAATGATTCGTAGAACGATAAAGGCATTTATTTCTTGCATTCTTCTCTAAGGAAAAAATGGTGTTATACATAATTTATTAATTATTTTTAGCTCTGCTGTCGACGAAGTCGAGTGGAGCTTATAGTATTACTGATTGTCCGTTGGCGCCGGTGCCGTCATCAACTTTACATTTTTCGACTTCTCCTTAAAAACCACAAACTGTATAGCTGTGAAACTTTCTAGGATGGTTCCTTGGGTGGTTCTCTCTCAGATTTGTTCATTTCGTATGGATATGTTCAATTGTCATATTTATAGCGAATATTTTTGTCATTTTTGGTCAAAATGCTATTTTCGACTTCTTCTTGAAAACTGCTAGTCCAAATGCTTTGATACTTGGTATGTAGGTACCTTGGGTGAACTTCTTACAGATTTGTTCATTTTGTGATGATATCTTTAATTCTCTAATTTTGATGAATATTTTTGTCATTTTTGGTAAAAAGTGATATTTTCGACTTCTTGTTAAAAACTGCAAGTCCGATTGTTTAGATATTACATATGTAAGTACTACATGTGGTCCTCTCAGGTTTGTTCGTTTCGTGATGATATCTTTAATTCTCTAATTTTCATGAATATTTTTGATAAAAAGTTATAAAAAGTCTTATTGCTTTAATACTATACATATTGTTTTTTTTCTGTTGATATATTCAGTTTTTTAATTGAAATGTGCATTGATAACAGTGGAGCTATCTCAGCCGAGAGGCTGCTAGTTTTGTCTAATTATCATCTATGCTTAATTTATTTTCATATCATTTTCCAGAAACAATAACTGAAAATAAAAAGACTGATGATGTCGAGAGTGATGAGAAGCCCAATGGGGAGAAATCGAAACCATCAGCTGGAAATGTTCAGGTTACAGTATGCACATATTGACTCATGAATATTCAATTAGCAAATTTGCATAATATGCTCTAAATTTAATGCCCAAAAGCGTATAGGATACTAATGTGGTTTGTGTTTGTATGCTGTTTACTGTGGCAGTGATATTTACAGGTGAATGCAGGGGTGGAAATATGGTGTGAATTGTGGGAGCTTGCAGTCTCAAAACTTTAGGAGCCTGCCAATGCGCTAAGCTGCAGACACATACAAAATTTAAAAGAAGTCGAAATAAAAGCAGAATAGATTAGAGTTGGAGATGGCAATTATAAGAAGATAGGAGGTAGAGTTGTGATGGTGCTGTTGAAAATTGTGAAGAAAAGAAGATCTTGTGAACAATATCAAAGATTGAATATGATCATTTAGAAATTAATTAATATGTAGGCTGTCATGTCAGCTCTTTGGCGAGTGTTAACATAGTAGTCATGAGGTATGCCAGAGCCAAGCAGGCTTGTTTGCAAGTAAAGCTAGGAGGGCAATTCTTAGATCATCAAGCTTGTGGGCTGCCCTAGTTTCAACATCTCAGTGACTGATGACTGATTTACGTATTCTTTACATACAGACTGTCAAGTTGGAAGACAAAAAAGAAGTTGCTTTACCAGTTCAACGAGAACGCAAGCTGCCATCTTGGATTTTAAATGCAAAGCCAACACCAACATCTAACCCAACAACATTTGAACCAAGATCTGTCGCTGCTAACATTGCAGCCGCACCAACAGGTAATGTTTTTATTAGTCCATTTGTGCATGTATGTTCGGTTCCAACTGTATTTCAGATATGTCTGACCGATTACAGTCAAACATTATAAATACGTCATGCATCTTGGGATACATATGCATGTCTATTGTTTTTGCAATATGATTCAAGATGACTGAATGTTGCCTGTTCATCACAATCAAGCATTTCTGCCATTCCAGAACCTGATCTCAGTCACATTTGAATGAATTTCACTAAAACTTGTTATATACATATGAAAATTGGTGCTTACAACTCTTTCTAGGGGATTTGGATTATAACACGATCTAAATCCAGCGCCAAATCCAGCGTTAAGCCTATAAACGTTCCATTGTTTTTTGTGCCAAACCCCTTTGTTAAGTACAACAACAAATATTTCATTGGTGTTTGTGAGCTCTTGTGTGATTGGTCAATGCATAGACAGCTCTTCCACTTCTGTGTTTTAATCCCTATCAATTTGGGCCCTGTTTAACCATAGGCAGTATAGTAGTATAGTAACACCAAAGTCAAACGTTGTATGCCCAACGCAAGCTGGGCTGGAATATTATGATGAGCAAGTAAACAATGACGTCATATTTACTTTGATGCGATGTCACTACTTTCGTATCAAACTACAAGTATCTTTCCCCAATTGAGTCGTTTTCTTTCCGCAATACGCATCTTCTGAACACACAATAGTTATCAGATGTTCTCGTGAACGTGGTTCACTAGTAAATATGACTTTAATATATATGTTCCTGTTTAATTGAATAAAATTAAAAGTTAGTTTCAGACAGCATTAATGTACATGCTATATTCAGTCTGTACCCCGTTTTCGACAAAATATTTTTGTTTTCATGATGCATGAATCTTCTTATTATGTTATTGATTACCGGCTATGCTCGTTTTTTATTGTTCTCTGCCACACATTTTTTCAAACAGACTTTGAATCCGTATGTTCTCCCGTCTGTCACCATCTTGACTATCGCTCACACTCTTTCAACCGGAATTCATGTCTATGGTTTTACCCCGTTTTCGATAAAATACTCGAATATTTTAGTTTTCATGATGCATGAATCTTCTTATTATGTTATTTTCCACCGACTGTGCTCGTTTTTTGTTGTTCTCTGTCTTGCACTTTTTTTTAAATTAACTTTCAATCTGTTCGTTTTCATGCCTGTCGTCATCTTGTCATCTTGACTACCTATTCACACTCTTTCAAACAGAATGCATGTGTAAGTTTGTACCCCGTATTCGACAAAATACACGAATAATATTATTTTCATGATGCATGAATCTTGTATATAATATATAGTTTTGTGGATAAGGGGGGGTCATCTTGGTTGCCCAATTAACTAATTAAAACACCTGTCAGGTAAACTGCATCTCTACCTTAACGAGAAATCGAAATAAACACTTAATTTATGTTAACGGTTAGTTTAAATCAGCTACCCTGCTACAATAGAATCGCTGGAGTTGCTTTTCCTTCCTACTATATTGTCTATGGTTTAACTCCGGGTTTACGTCCAGACGCCACCCTCTTGACTGGAGATCTGTGTTGGAAAATAAACCTTTGTTGTTGCGGTGTACGCAAGAAGATGAACTACTTATGTTTTTAATATCACTTCACCTATTAACAATTCACCCCTAGACGTGATAATTTCATTTCAATAGTAAATTCGTTCTCAAAAATCCAAATAATCACAACCTCACCGAAATTCATTTTCTATTCTTAGCCACACCCAGACCATTCATCAAAACGAGTGGTCTGGGGTATACTAGTACTCTGACCCATGCCGAGGACTTCCTGTTTGGAATGCTATATGATGAATCAGATTAACTATCACGTGAAACCAAATGAAAATCATTCTAAAATAACGTACTTATACCCAATTGATTCTGGAAAGAAATGACATTTGCAATAATAATCGACGAGCAGGTCCGGATAGTAACGTTAGGTTGACGAACGAGACGATACAACAGTACTGATTGGACCTACATGAATGCTACTCTATTTCACAAATGTTCTTGTTTTTTTGCTGTCGTACATTATCTTCTGTAATAACTCCGAAAGTGAAGTCTTATATCTTCAGCAGAACGTAGCCGTTAAAACTTGCAAAACGAGTCTGTTTCGATCGATAATCGCTTAAGCAGCATACAATTTTTTTTTTGACTCATTTAAAACTGCATTTTGTCTGTCTCTGGCGTGCTACAGAATGACATAGATCTTGGCCAATCGTATTTTTACAACGGACCTGAATGTACAGCACTAATTTCACCCAACCTCCTGCTCGCTTCTGCTTTTCGATCATTACTTTTACTCGCTTTTGCCTCCGCATGTTGAATAATTTCCGCTTAATTTTTCGAGTGCGCGAATCCAGAAATATCGCCCGTCTGCACGCTCGCATTTTAAATACATGGCCGTGGCATCAATATGTTCCTGGTTTCTCTGCTCTCTTCGCTAAGGAGTTAGCATTGCCTGTATCACGTAAATGTCTCGATAATCATATTGTTGAAACGAGGTAGCAGCCCTAGATTCAAACGGAACACAGTCCCGCTCTATTAGCTTGTTGTGGAACGCTCACATAACAAGAGGTCATAGTTACGTTCGCGAACGAAACAAACTTTGATGGTTTGGAAGTGTCGTTCGAAATTAAATAATGGTTAATACTCATTTAATCCTCAAACTTTACCACTAAAACAACAATTTCGACAACTCATGTGCCAGTGTTCAATGTTTGAACAAGCAGTCAGTGTTTTTAATAAGCGAGTGTCGAAAACGTGCACAAAACGACCATTCTGTGCACGTTTTCGACACGGCTTAAAAACCAGTTGTAAGCACAAATTTTCATATGTACTTTGAACATTATGGGACCTATTAAAATGCTTGTCATTTTGTATTTCAGATCTGATTTAAAATGGCCGACTGATGGCCTTTTTGTATCACAGCAATTTTTAGCTAATGTACACCCACACTTCTGGGTCGCTGCTAGTGATAAAATATGGCATTAAATACAGAACGAGGACTGTGCATTGTCAGTGCTTGTTTTGTATTTTGTTAGTCCCCGTTCGGACGCAGTCCGAAAACGGGGACTTATGTTTTGCCCTGTGTGCGTCCGTGCGTCCGTGATCACCTGTATCTCGAACATGCATGGACCGATTAAGTTCAAACTTCACTCATACATCACACATTATATGGGACATATGCACATGCATTTTTTTCATGATCCG